ACATAAGAGCTTCTATTACTTTGTTTGTTAACCTAGCAGGCTTTTTTCTATACCTATTTGTGCCTTTCCTAACCTGCGATGTATATTTTATCTGAGCATCTAGAATTGTAGTTTTAAATAGTCTCCAAGCTTTCCCAATGGTTTTTGACTGTTTTTACTTTTTCCTTCAGTTTCCTCTTCACTTGTCCCCTCATTTTAGAGAAGTTACCCCTTTTAAAGTTAAAAGTGGTTGGTCTTTTTGGGCAGCTCCCTATGTAAACGAATGTTGAACTCAGTAACATTATGGTCACTGTTCCCAAGTGGTGCAATGACTTTTACATCTCTCACCAAGTCTTGGGTGTTACTTAGGACCAAATCCAGGATTACCTCTCCCCTGGTAGGTTCTGTGACCATCTGCTCCATAGCACAGTCATTGAGAGTGTCTAGAAACTCAATCTCTTGACTTGAACACATTTTGACCCAATCAATGTGTGGGTAGTTAAAATCACCTATTATGACACAGTTATTTTGTCTAGCCACTATGTTTAATTCATTAAACATTTTACAATCCTCCTCTATGTTTTGATCTGTTGGGCGATAACAAGAATCTATGCTGGGATACACATATTTAGCATTCTGTTGAAAATTTGAAAGAATAAGTTGCTGCAGGAAAAAAATGTAGATGCAGAATTCCACATGACAGTCTGAGTGTATGAAATGTCACAGGATCGTGAGATAAAATATGAAAAGAGAGGATAATAAGCCTATGACTAAAATTCATGGCCAGGGCAAAATTGTGCATGCTAAGGGGAAAACACCCCCCCCTTAAAGGGTACTGATTCCTTAGAAAGGAGAAAGAGAAACTTTCAAGGACAGCAGGATGCAAATGTAAGCAATGAGAAGTTCTGATCCTTTCAACAGGAAACTGTGTTGCCTAGAGCTGCAATATGTTCATTTATGCAAATATGAACATTTTCTTTCATAACAGTCATTGGGCAACTATAATATATTATTTCTCTCTTGTATGGTGAACAACGGGTTATAAGTGTTATAGTGAGGTGTTACAGTGAGGTTGTATCCTTGGCCTGCCTTTTCTCCATTTATGTTTTGAAGGGGGGGAAATCTTTCCTTTTACATTTTCTTCCCCTCCCCACCATTTGGCAAAATTCTTTACTGGATTTATTTCTGCCAGTTTGCTTGTCTTGGTATGAAAGGGATTTTCACAGGATAATGTTCTGATAGGTTGGAATGCCCCCCTCCCTGTCTTTTTTTTGGGGGGTTGACTAACCTTTACCCAGAATGCTATGTGGGGTGGGTGGGAAACTGCTTCGATTGTGTGTGTGTGCTGATCTGGTGTGTAAGTGACCAATCATTTTAATTTAATATGATTGAGCCGTCCAGGAAAAGGTTGCCTTGATTATCTGAGCTCTGTGTAAAGGATTCCCTCCCCTTTTCTTGATAATGCTTTTGGTGCTTAGGACTAGAGCATCACCCCTAGAGGTCTTTCAGACTCTCAGGCAAACACTTCATATCAACAAACCGAATGTCTTTTCCAGAAGAAGGATGGATTTTAAGGGAAAAGCTAAAAGGAAGTCCAGACAGCCCCTGAATAGGAGGAGGCGTGAAGTGGACATGAAGTAGCAGAAAAGACTCGGTATCTTTCTAAGCCTCATGACAAAAAAAATGGTGAAAATATAGTATGTTCTGAAAACCGAGACCTAGGAGAGGAAAAGATGGTGTCCAAGCCTTTTATGACTGAACTTTTAGCTTCCTCTTAAGGCAGTTGTAGTGCAATGACCTACCTGTGCCTCAGCACCCATAAACAACCCATATTTAGGGTCCCAGAATGTGTCAACAAATCCTCTCTTGTAGTAAATGCAGTGAGTCTTGCTGAGGCTAGGAAGATAATGGGGCTATCCGGCCTTCCACAGGCTTAGCAGAACAGGACTTTACTGCCTCCTCCTCCTCCTCCTCGTAAGCAGTGGGTTTTTCCCTGTTAAATAATAAAGTTTTCTTTTTTATTTTTCTGGATTTTATTTTATTTTATTTTATTTTTATTTTCCTTTCTTTACTTTTTGGGGTTTTGTTTTTTGACTACCACCACTTTTCCAGCCTATCTGGGATTCATTTAAATAACACCAAGTGGTTGGAGATACAGTTGTGCTGAAAACCTCGAAATGTCTGATGGCTGCCACTGATAAGGAGTTTATTGGTTCTTCCACACACCCCAGCTTATAGAGTATAAATGGGAGACCTGCAAGACTGGCAGTGGAAGGTCCCAGACTCCCCCCATTTTCCTCCTTGCCTTTAGCCCCTCAGCCCCCCCTCCAGGAATCTGCTGAACTTGCAGGGGTGGGAGGATATTGGCCAGCCTCTCCCCCCTCCTGTCTGGTCTGCCCCCACACATGTCCCCCTCTCTGTGGCTCTGTCCACACACATGCCCCCTCGTTGCTGCTCAATGGCATCCAGTGGTGAGAAGTGTGGCAGTTCCCAACCTCCTTCCTTCCCTCACCTCCCTGCAGTGCCATGCACCTCTACCAATCTGGTTCATGTGGTGGCAGTGGCTTCCCCCACTCCTGTGGAGGCACGGTGTCTGTGCAAGTGCAGGCAATGTGTATCTGTTTGGGTGGGGACTTAATCCCTGTCCCACTTTTGGCATTATGTGCTAACCTGAGGGCTCCCCTAAACCTGCAGGAAAATGTCTGGAGTGTGTACCTGGCCCTGTTCTCTGGGTCTATCAAGCCACACTGGGGCCAGGTATATGATTAGATCTACAATTATTTGTGTGGAGCGTCTTCTTTTCCCTTCTGTCTTGGTTAAAATAAAATACTTTGTTCACTCTTGAAACCAGTCAGGAGTTATGAATAAATGACAACTTTTATTTACCTCCCTGGAAGTGCAATAAGGTTCTAAACTATTAACAAGTGTTACATGAGCCCCCATGGACACAAGGTATATGAGACAGTGACTAATAAAACTCTCTATTATGAAAATGGTGAACCAATCTGCACTTTGAGAGAAATTATGAACAGCTGGACCTGAGGGTTACTGAATCCCGGGCTGGACTACAGGAACACTTTAAAATCAGACCAAAACCATGTCCCTTTTAGTTTCCCTCCATGTTGGAAGACTAACGAATGACAGTCATTAGCTGTGTCTCTCTCCTGGTCACCATGCTTTATCATCCTGCTTCCACAGTGTCTCCTGAGACAAAGGATTCACTAGCCTTTCTCTCTGGTGGTTAAACTTTATATGAAACAAGAAGAAAAAACAGGTGTCCCCCCCCCCATGTGCTCTGTCCATGGACCCTGGTTGGCTGCTACCAGTTCAGTGAACTTTCTAACCAGGTTTAAAGGAGATTGTTAGTTTTCAAGAAATGGCAGGACCCCATATTGTTCCTGGGGGTCAGTGGATACTCAGGAAGAGCATAGGGTACAAAGAAGGCTCTTAGGTGGGAGGGGGAATCAGTGGAAATTGCCACCCCCTCTTCTGCAACTGGAAATACTTTTCTGTCAGAGGAACTGCATGTTTGTTTGGATACACCCTAGCAGGGGTCATTTCGTAGAAAGAGGTGCAGGAGCTCATTAGCATAACTCATTAGCATAACTTATTTGCATATGCCACACCCCCTGACATCACTAGAAGTGTGTCAGAAGGCAACACCCACCACTCAGGCTCCACTGGACTGTTTTGGATTGCTAGCTATTGGGGGGGGGGGAGACGTGCAGATCTGTCCTCGCAGAGGAGGGAGAGCTTGTACCTGAATAAAACTGGATCTTAAAGGTGCCACTGGACTGTTTTGGGCTGGGGGGAGATCTGCAACTTACCTGGCTGCTTCTTGCTCTGACTGAGGGCTGCTGGGAGCAGGGGGTAAGGCTTGTTGTATGTGCCTGCCCCCTGGGCTCTTTACTGCCGGAGCTCCGCTCCTGTGCGCTCCTGCAGGAAATGACCCCTGCACCCTAGTATTTAGACCCAACACGATATCCTTAGTAATGGCAATTAATCATCCTACTGGTTTGCAAGTCTTTCCAGGGGTAAGCTAGTTGCAATTCAGAATGGCAAGGGCCACAGGAATCTATTGCTATTTCTCTTTTTGTTTTAATCTTGTTAGGCATTGTCAGCTATGCTGCCATGGGGGTTGGGGAGTTCATTCTGTGTCTTATTAATTGCTATTGCATTCCTATCCCTGCTGTTCTGCCTTTGCTGAAACTCTTATCTCAACAGATGTGCAGGAGGACTCCTGGTTCCGTGAGAGACTTCTGGTTCCCAGCTTTAGCCACCTAACGGCTTTCTAACTTGTCCTGCGCGCGGGAGGGTATCTAATTGGCCCATGCCATGGGGGGGTGTGCATACGAATGCTCTATATCCTATTAGGCTCTATGGGTTGCTGCCATTCTTAACAGTTCCTGTGTTACTGCATCTATGACTTTGCAATAAAAGTATAACCGTTCCTGAATGTGTGTACTTCGTTGTTACCTGTGGGTTCTGACAGTCATATTTTTGGGATTTAGTAGTGTATTTACCCTAGGTGGTTCATTTTATGCATTTGATACTCTGTATATATTATCATTACTGTTGCAATATGAGCTGATATGGGTCCTAAGATACAATTGCAGTTCTTACGTATTATTTTAATACATTGATGACTGTGGTTCTGCCTGTTCTAGATCACTATTCCTGTCACTGTCAGTATACTCAAATCCCTTGGCCACTGCTAAGCTGTTGTGAGTCAATTGATTCCTTGTCCAGTTTCCCTGTCCCCCATTTTTCCGGTGTCCATCCCCTGGTCTCCAGCTGATGGTTCCAGAACAATACTTCATTCTTCAGATCTGAATCTCCCCTTCAAATATTCAGTTTTAAAGCCAATTCAGTGACTTGGCTTCAACAAGTATTTTTGTTTGGGGGAATTTCCATCAGCAGAGCTCCATCTGGGCCTGAGGAAACAGCAGCATCTTGTTTGAACTTTACTTGTCTTTCTTTTTTGCTAATTGCTTTCCCTCTGCAACCGATTTTTACTTCAGGTCATGATATTAATGGAGCTCTTGAACCATCAAACATTGACACCAGTATCCTGGAAGAATACATTGGCAAGGAGGATTCACCAGATATGTAAGTACCTTCATTTCTCTGTACTTTTAATGATCAACAGTGGTTGCACAGCATTGTCAGAATAATGATTACTGCTCCTTTTAGAATACATAAGGGATTCTTTTATAGTAATACGATTGAGTGCTTCCATCATCGTTTTCTTCTTTTCCACAAAATTCTACTTAACTTTCTGACCCTATTACATCCACAAGTTTTCTTAAATCTTATTTGGCAGCAGGTCCATTGGAGAAGCTTTTGACTCCAGGGGTCTGCACTCAGTCTTCTGGTTGTGTATCACCAAAAGTGATGTCTTCTGTTTGCCTAAGGAATGATATCACCAGACTGAACATTATGAAAAGCAAGAGTAAGGATGAGGGCGTAGTTAAATACAAAACTTCAGATTGTTTAGTATTGTGAATGGGTGATTCCCTTAGTCAGAGGCTGTAAAGGAAATTGTCACTACGTCAGAAAGAACACCCATTGTCTTGTCCCCCTTCTCCTTCTTGCCACCACCACCCCAGGTAAAATTCAGCCTCTCATGGGATTGCCTGAGGCCAATGGCACAGGGGAGTATTGCTTTAGCATACCAAGTAGCCAAGGCGGGTGGGTAAGGAAATGTTCAGACTCTCTTAAATAAAAATTTTTATTTCTACAAGGCACAAACTTGGGGTGCTACAAGACAGAACTTGGTGCACTAAGCAAATTAAAAGTTACTAACTAGGTACTTACAATCTATGGCATATCTGGTCTTTGTTAGTTGCATGATGCCTTCCTCCCTGGCACATCTGCAAACATATTTAGCATCATTCTCTTCTGTCAACCTTCATTGCCAATGAATGCAAATGAGTCAGCCCCCAAACGACCAACCAATAGCTCCACCAGCAAATCCCTGAACAAAGGAACAGCTCTTCTTTTCAGACACATTCCCTCATGGGCTCTCAGGGCCTTAGCCAATCTCGGTGTCAAGTCCTGGGGCTCAAGTCCACCAGAACATGGATCTTCCAATCAAGAGGTGTTAACACATTAAAGGACTAGCATGTTTTCTCTGTCAGTTGTAAAGGATGCTCGCTGTCTGGAGAAGAACATCTTTCCCATGTTCTCCTAGTCACAGAGATGGCGGTGTGCCCTTCCATCACCATAACTGCCACAGCATCTCTTGCCTCCCTGCCCCTCATCCACAACAGAGCCATATTACCATGCAAAAGAGAATCCCTGAGGAATTTTCATGCCAGGACAACAGTGCACTGGTTATAAGTCTGTCTTTGCTACTTTTGGCAGAACTCGTAAACCAGGGATAAGTTAGATGAGTCTTTGCAGTGAGGTTCCCAAAGTACCCAACACTTGCAAAATATTTTTCTTTGAGCTCAACATGATATGAACACCACAGCAGTTTCTTCCTTGAATCCTGAAAGTGTTGCTGGGATACTCACTATCCCCCCCCCCCCTTTAAGCTCTTTGGTGCAATAATGTTTTTTTACCCAATTTTTCATAGGTCAAATATATTTTACAGTTTCAGACTTCTCTCTGTGGCTTGAGTGAAAACCATGCCTTTTTTCTGATCCTTTTAGTGGAGTACTATTGTGCCATGTGGGTTAGGAGCATTTATAGATATAATCTGTACAGTGCATCAGATCTGTAGATGAGAAAAATGCAATATATAATATATTATTCAGGAGGTTCAACTTCTACCCCACAGCTCTGACTTGGACTCCCTTCCTGAAATCCCTTCCTCAGCTGGCTACCCTCATGTTCAGGCTTCCAACTCTGCCACTGCATCTGTCTCCAGTGCTGGCCATGTGACCAACATTGTGTCCAGTGGTGCCCTCCATCATGGCCCCACAAGTACCCAACTCCCGATCCGGCACGGTCTCCATCACGGCACCCCAAGCAGCCAAGTTCCAATCCGACATGGTCCCCCTTTGTCCAACCCTTGTGGACCCAGCTACAGTGCTCACCTCAACTGCAATAACAACAATGGCATGGTGGTGCCCAAGGGATACCTTGGAGGCCACTGCCTGACTAGTATTGGCCCTCCAATCAAATCAGAGCTCAAAGCGTCCTATGCACCCGGGTAAGTGATACTGAACAAAGAAAAAGGTTAGGTGCGATGGAGGTATAATTCTAAAATCAGAAGGGCTGTATTGTAATGGTTCTCCAGAGTCTTATAATGCTGTGCCCATTATAGAGTCAGATTGAAGAACGCTACTATTCTGTGAAAGGAGCTGGACTTCTGAAGGTGAGATGGCAACCCCTAAGCACAAAAGAAAATGGCTACTAAAAGAGTCCAAAGCTGAGTCTTGTAGGATAAAATGTGACTTGAAATGTCCAAGCATCAATGCTATCTTTAGGAACATTTATCCATCTTTAATGTCTTTATATATTTATCCATCCTTAATGTCTTTATATGTGTATATAAATTTCATAGACAGGATCTGATAATATTTAGAGTCTATGGGGTTGGTTTGAGATTGTTCAGAAGGTATACAGTTGGTCATAGTCCTCACTGCTGAGGCTGAATTGTGCTCACTGTGGATATCTGTTAATTCTACAAGTCTCTATAGCCTACATATTAAAGTAGCAAAGAAGGGGGGATACAGGACATGAATTGTAGGAACTCCAGGAACAATTAAATGTGATACAGACCTGGAAATACTGTTCATTTCTCTTTCTAGGAGAAAGGTGTGCATTTAAGGAAGCCACTCCTGGTAGGCAAATAGCCAACATCTATCTTTGGCTGACTCATACAGAAGCAAATAAAGTGATCAGAGTGGAGCACTAAATCTTTTGAAAAATGAAGAATGTGAAATTTCTAATTGTGTACAATAGGGTTTGAATATGTCCCCTCAGACAAAATTGAATCTTCACTGTTCATTTAGGGAGAGAATATGATTCCTGCCTTATGCAAAAGTAAGCTGTGATTGAATATGAGAATAATAATAATTCATAATAGGATGAAGCAGCCAAGGCACATTGCTGTGACACTGAGAGGCAGTGTTGTGCAGTGGTTTACGTCCCCACTTAGCCATTTAACTGATTAGGTGAGTTTGGACCAGTCTTTATTTTTCAGCCCAACCTAACTCTCAGGGCTGCTGTGAGGATAAAATGGGGGAGTCTGTGTATGCCATCCTCGGAGAAAGGGTGGAATAAAAATCTGAGAGATAAATAGTTTGATAGGAGTTAATGATGGTTGCCATGGCAACCAGGAAAGGTCCCATTTGTCAGGATCCTGGTTAAATCAGTTCTCAACACCAGTCACTTCAAAGAAAGCTAACTTTATTGAGACTTTGATAGAGACCATACTGGACTTGAGCTATTGTTAGGACTGAAGTTGAACACACAAAGGTTACAGATATAGTGTGTTCAAGTAAGGCCAATAAAGATCAGGACCCAATAACCCCCCCGGTATTTGCCCGCCAGAATTAACAGTCAACTACCCCCCCACTAAGCATGTACCTCTCCCAGAACATCCCTCCCACCCAAAATTAACAGTTGCCTACCCCCCCCAGACACGTAGCCTCTACATAGCAAAAAAACCCCAGAATAACAGACATTTGAGAAGCCAGAACATTTGGCCCCACTAAGGTGACAAGTCTCTGGCACATCAAAGAGAGAGGAACCTCCTCTCTCAGGCAGGTGAGCTGTAAAATGCATAGGGAGCCTGACATACTGCCCCCCCAAGACCTCTTTCCCCTTTGGTTTGTGAGGGTATTTGTTATGGAATGCACGGGTTAGAGAGGGGGCTCGAACGTTTGTACATTTCACCCACTTATTATTCGATCCATCAAAGTCCTTCCATTTGATTAAATAGTACAGTTGGTTCAGTCTCAACTTAGAATCAAGGATCTCTTCTACTTCGTGGTGGAGTTCACCATCTATCATCACAGGAGGTGGGACAGCTGGACAAGGTCTCCACTTGTTCGGGCCTGGATCCCTTTTTAGCTGACTGGAATGAAATACAGGGTGAATATGCCTCAGAGTCTTGGGTAACTCAAGTTCTACAGCCACTTTGTTCAAGACTTTTAACACTTTGAAAGGGCCAATATACTTCCATTCCAATTTCCTCCCCGGCTGGATCTCCTTCACATTTTTTGTTGGAGGTACACTGAGTCCCCAGGCTGTAAGTCCCATTCAGGAGCACTCCCTTTATCAGCTTGTTTTTTGTAGTCTTCTTTTGCCTTTCTCAGAGTCTCTTGGATTGTGGACCATCGATCCTTTAGGTCCCCCATCCCCCCCCACAATCGCAAATCTCCCTGTTTTGGCTCCTGGGTAGTCACTGTGAGGAGGGGGGTCTCTTCGTACCCATGCACTGCCTTAAAAGGTGAGAGACCAGTGGAAATGTGTACTGAGTTATTATAACTGTATTCTGCGTAAGGGAGGAGGTCAACCCAGTAGAAAGTAGAAAGGGTCAAAACCATTGGGGAAGCTTGGAAACTATTTAAAACTACGATCCTAGAAGCTCAAAAAATATATATTCCGCAGGTTAGGAAAGGCACAAACAGGTATAGGAAAAAGCCTGCATGGTTAACAAAAAAAGTAATGGAAGCTGTAAAAGGTAAAAAGGATTCCTTTAAGTGGTGGAAAGCTAGTCACAGTGAGGCTGATAAAACGGAACACAGGCTGTGGCAAATAAAATGCAAGTCTGTAGTCAGGCAGGCAAAAAGGGAATATGAGGAGCATATAGCAAAAAACGTACCAACAATAAAACTTTATTCAAATACATTAGAAGCAGGAAACCAGCCAGGGAGGCAGTGGGGCCCTTGGACGACCAAGGGGTAAAAGGAGTACTGAAGGATGATAGGGAAATGGCTGAGAAGCTAAATGCATTTTTTGCCTCCGTTTTCACTGTGGAAGATGAGAAGTGCTTGCCCACTCTAGAACCGCTGAGTTCGAGAGGGGTGTTGAAAGACCTGAGTCTGATTGAGGTGACGAGAGAGGAGGTCCTAAAACTGATAGACAACTCAAAAAGTGATAAATCACCAGGCCCAGATGGCATACATCCGAGAGTTCTGAAAGAACTCAAATGTGAACTTGTGGGTCTCCTGACAAAAATATGTAATCTTTCCTTAAAATCTGCCTCCGTTTCTGAGGACTGGAAGGTAGCAAATGTCACTCCCATCTTTAAAAAGGGTTCCAGAGGAGATCCGGGAAATTACAGGCCAGTCAGTCTGACGTCGATACCGGGTAAATTGGTGGAAACCATTATTAAGGAAAGAATTAGTAGGCACATAGATGAACAAAACCTATTGAGGCAGACTCAACATGGGTTCTGTAAGGGAAGATCTTGTCTCACTAACCTGTTAATGTTCTTTGAGGGGGTGAACAAACATGTGGACAAGGGGGATCCAATAGATATTGTTTACCTTGACTTCCAGAAAGCTTTTGATAAAGTTCCTCATCAAAGGCTCCTAAGCAAGCTCAAAAATCATGGGATAAAAGGACAAGTCCTTTTATGGATCAAAAACTGGCTAATTAATAGAAAACAGAGAGTGAGTATAAATGGGCAGTTCTCCCAGTGGAGGGGGGTAAGCAGTGGGGTACCACAGGGATCAGTACTTGGTCCACTGCTTTTTAACTTGTTCATTAATGATTTGGAGTTGGGAGTAAGCAGTGAAGTGGCTAAATTTGCGGATGATACGAAGTTGTTCAGGGTGGTGAAAACCAGTGAGGATTGTGAGGCACTCCAAAGGGATCTGTCAAAGATGGGCAAGTGGGCGTCAACATGGCAAATGGGGTTCAATGTGGCCAAGTGCAAGGTGATGCACATTGGAGCCAAAAATCCTAACTATAAATACACGTTGATGGGGTCTGAACTGGCAGAGACTGATCAAGAGAGAGATCTTGGAGTTGTAGTGGATAACTCACTGAAAATGTCGAGACAGTGTGTGACTGCAATAAAGAAGGCCAATGCTATGCTGGGGATTATTAGGAAGGGTATTGTAAACAGATCAGCCAATATCATAATGCCCCTATATAAATCAATGGTGCGACCTCATTTGGAATACTGTGAGCAATTCTGGTCACCACACCTTAAAAAGGATATTATAGCTTTGGAAAAAGTGCAGAAAAGGGCAACTCGAATGATAAAGGGGTTGGAACACTTTCCCTATGAGGAAAGGTTAAGGCGCTTAGGTCTCTTTAGCTTGGAGAAATGACGACTGAGGGGTGACATGATTGAGGTTTATAAGATTATGCATGGGAAAGAGCAGGTAGAGAAAGAGGTACTTTTCTCCCTTTCTCACAATACAAGAACTCGTGGGCACTCCATGAAATTGCTGAGCGGTCGGGTTAGAACGGATAAGAGGAAGTACTTCTTCACCCAAAGAGTGATTAACACTTGGAATTCACTGCCACAGGAAGTGGTGGTGGCTACAAGCATGGACGGCTTCAAAAGGGAGCTAGATAAGCATATGGAGCAGAGGTCCATCAGTGGCTGTTAGCCACAAGGTATAGATAGGGACTCTGGGGCAAATGATGCTCTGTCATCTTGGTGCTTGGGGGGGTCAACAGTGGGAGGGCTTCTAATGTCCTGGCCCCACTGGTGGACCTCTTGATGGCACTGGTATTTCTGGCCACTGTGTGATACAGAGTGTTGGACTGAATGGGCCTTTGGCCTGATCCAACATTAGCATCTCTTATGTTCTTATGTTTTTAACTGGTGAAGTACCGGAGGAATTCTTCTACCACTTGATTCAGCCTCTCAGTCTGCCCGTCTGTCTCAGGGTGATAGGAGCTGCTGAGACCTTGTTCAACCCCCAACACCTGCAGCAGCTCCTTCCAAAATTTAGTGAGGAACTGCGATCCCCTTTCTAAAATGATCTTGGGAGGAATGAAATGCAGCCTCACGACGTGGTGCATGAACATTTATTTATTTATATTTATTTATTTAGGTATTTTTACCCCGCCCTCCCCGCAAGCAGGCTCAGGGCGGCTTACAGGGGCTTACAGCCCATACATAAAATCCAATAAAATCCAGTAAAACAACCAATAACATATTAATAACAATAAAGTGCTTTAACGCTCCAAGATGGCTTAAGTTGTTAGTCCAGAAAATGGTCCGAGTCTGTCAGCTGG